TAGGTTTGGGACATTTTAATTTGACCTATATTTGGTTAGGGGTTAAAGGGGATCATATTTATAAATCAAAGATATTCCAAACAAATTTAATTTATTTAAGGCCTAGTAAAATTAATACAATAAAGATCAATGGGTAAGCTAATGTTGATTTTTTTTTATTGAGATATATGGGTAAGTCCCTATATTAACTATCAATCATACAAGCATATTTGACTTGATTAATGATAAATTAAGTGTCATGTCAACTTGGGTTTGTCTCATGTTAACAGGTCAAGCTAATGGCGATTGATATGTTTTTAGGGGCTACTAACATTGAGAGTAATGTTGAGTGTCCGTTGAACTAAATGACCCAAGATGAGTCTTTAAAGGGCATATGGTTAGTTTATGATAGCTCAAAATAGGACTATAATGAGTCTTAACTTGAGATGAGTAGTGTTAATCCAATAATATTAGTGTAATTTCATTAAGGTCACATGAAGTTAGATCAACTATGAGGTTTTCTAAATGCTAAGTTAGAGGTTCAACCTAGATTTTAAGTAGGTTAATTAAGATTGAGCATGAGTTTGTTAAAGTCTTGTCCTATGGTAGTTATCTAGACTCTCTTAGAGAATGAGTTGAGTTTATATGACAATCTTGTAGGTCTAATAACCCAACAATAATGGACTAGCTTGATGAAAATTGAGAGCCGAATAGCTAAATTTTGAAAGTCAAGTTAAGAGATATCACAATTCAACAAGAGAGGTGATGATGTACTATTGTGACTTTCTGACTTTCCAATAATTATTAATTTTTTAATGTTATAAGAGTCTAAATTTTTAGAATATGGTGTTCAACATAATTATCGTCGCTAGAAAATTACTAAAGCTGTCGGTATTTACCGATGGTTTATCGATGATTGCTGGCGATTATCCAACGATAATCTAGCTATTTAGCCGCCGATTCTTCCTGCAGTTCTTACAGCCAGTAAGCCACCGGTGATTAACCGATAATTTACCAGCAGTCACCGACAGTCAACCAGTGATAATCTGTGGTTTGACTGCCAGTAACACCGATGATTTGGACAGCCGGTATGTCACCGGTAATTAACAGATAGTCATCGGTGTTATGACCGCCAAAAATTACCAGCTGTCTCAGCCGCCAGTAATTAAAACTGTCAAAAATAGGCCTTCGAAAATAATTTCCTTACTGGTGGTTTTGAACCACCGGAAAGCCGCTGGTTTTTTACATATCCGTTAGAAATCTATCATGAACCACCAGTAATGTCTGAATTTTCTGTAGTGAGTGATACCATGGTAAAATAATTAAGGGGTTTTTCAAGAAAATTTTGATAAATCTTAGGAAATTCTATTGAGTTTAGTGACATCATAAACCACATGTTTTAATTTCATTTATGTTTGAGTTGATTTGACCATCAAATTAAGTAAAATAAAATTAGGCCCTTTAAGGGTCCTAAAACTTAAAAAAATATAATAAATTCAACTTAAATAAAAAAAAATACAATTCAGGTCTTAAAATGTTCATAATTGAAACCCTATCTAAGAAAAATAAAAGCCTTATGCCAAACCTTCAAGTTTGATCATAATTTAATAATCGATGAAGTTAAATAATTATTTAAATAAAAAATGAAATATAATAAATAATAATAATAAATTTTAAACACTTGAATCATTCACATAAGTCATTCCTATCATTTGGGGAAAATTTTAAGTGATTTGAAATTAGTTTGGTACAAAATTAAGAAAATCCTTCTAACTATTCAACCAAATAATTCTATTAAACATACAAATTTAAAAAATTCATAAATAATCATTAAAAAGTTTAAATTCAACAAACTCAAAGAAGTTGTACTTATCCTTGGGTCTAATATTTATGAATAATGTCTAATTTCTAGAATTCAGTAAAAATTAAAAATTCAACACTTTGGTCAACCTTAATTCAATAAAACACCCAATTTGAAAAATTTTAACTATTTATATAAAAATTCAAATCCAATAAACTCAATGGCATTTTAATCATCTTAGGGACTAATATTTATTAAAATTATAAAAACTCCATAACTTAAAATAAATTAAAAAGTTAAGGAATTGACTCTTCTTTAATGCATTAAAATATTCCAAAAAATATAAAAAATAAAAAATAATCAAATTTTCAATAAATCACTAATCCAATCAATCAAATTGGATTATATATTCAAATGAATAACCAACATTCCATTAATGAAGTTTTTTCTGATAGACTACAATGAGCTATGGGGCTAAGTGTCCTAAGGAGGCCCTAGGTCCTCATGCCCATTGTAACATCACCACTAATGAATTTGTTGGAATGCAAACCATAAATCACAAGCTTCATAAGTCATAAACAACATGATTACAAAATTAGATAATTTAATCAATAAACTAAATCAAACCTAAACCCAAAGTATATAAACTATTGGGTAACCCGAGACAACAAAACTATTAAGTTAGCCCCATGTATGGTGAAATAAACCTCACGACCCTGGTTAAAATAAAGGTAGTTAATGTTCAATATAAATAATTAATAATAAATCACTAACAAATGAAAGCCTTCATACCTTATGTAGATTCCATTTTGTAGAGCATAAGGGTATTAAATTTTAAGGCTTAAGGACTAAAACACCTTATTTGAGTTTAAGACTTTAGAGAACTAATAATTAGCCAACTCTAAGATCTAAAATTTATCCTAAAATGAATATTAAAAAATCAAACATAAACTCAAACTAAGTCTTATTTCAACCTAAAATAAACAAAAAAATATATTAGAAAACTTAAAATAATATTCCATTTAGAATACATCAAAACCACACATCATTACTCAAACAATGTAAATGACTTGATAGGACAACAAATCCAAATTTTAGGCTAGGCCACTATCATATCCTTTTATAAATACAATTTTTTTTGTTGTGATTTGTTTTGATCTATGTTGCATATGATGTGATGTTTCTTTTAACATGCTACATGTACTGTGACATATGATGGGTGCAATATTTTCCTAAGCTGTGATTGTTCTCGATGCTAATAAAATTTTATGCAGGTGACCATGCTAATACAGGGTATAAAAAGGGGGCAAAATATAATTTTTTATAGATATTTTAAATACCTTGTTCCCTAAAAATGAAAAGTATGGCCAAGTGAATGTGTTGGATCAAATTCGAGCAATGATATATATATATATGCTTGAGATTTTTGATGATTTTATATATAAACTGCTTAGGATAACATGTCAGTTGTATTAGAAATATTGTAAATTTTCATATGTAAATTTAAATACGAAAGATTTGTAAAAGTAATTTAAAGTAGGATATTTTAATATCCAAATTGGAATCTAAAGAGGAATGAGAAACCCCTTTGGGGAGGAGTTCCCCCTATTTGAAGAACTATATTAGGATGACTTAAAATTAACAAAGAAAATAAACACCCATTCAGGGAGGAGATCTTTTCATTTGAAGGTCTAGACCCGTTAGATCCAAAGAGCTCGAAGAAAAGAGCTGAAGAAGTGGAGACAAGAAAAATATCACATTTTAAAACTTGCGTCATTCAGTAGGATTATAATTTGGGTTGTTGTCAGTGGATCAGTCCCCGATCACTTTTAATTTTTGCAAACCTTGGGTTATAATTAAGCAACATTGGCTACATGTGCTCTTATATTTGATTTATATATTTTTGTGGCTTGATTGTCTTATTTAAATTTCATGCCTTAAAAATTACTTATTTTCACTACATGAAAATCACGCATTACCGGCGGAATTTTTCGGTGGCTTTCCGACAGTTAATTTTACGGCGGCTTTCCGACAGTTAATTTTACGGCGGCTTTCCAGCGATTTTATGATGAAAGACAATGACATAACTTTTCCAATGGTTTCTTTCCGACAGCTTTTCCTGTTTTATGGCGGCTTTTAAATAATTTAATTAAAATGATTAAAATTTTAACTATTTAAATGATTTAATAAATTTTTTTTAAAATAATATTAAATATTTCCTTAATTTAAGTAAAAAGATTTAAATTTAAAATTATTTTTTAAATTTTAATTTATTTTATTTTTTACTAA